ATGGTATCCTCAAGAGTGAACTTGATGTTGTCATCCACAGAGTTGATATGCTTGGTGAAAGCCTCTACTTCCTGGGTCCTGATTTTAACCCATGTGTCATCCACGTAGCGGAACCAGTGGCTGGGAGCGGTACCAGTGAAGGAAGACAGGGCTTTGTCCCCAAATTCTTCCATGTACAGGTTGGCAACTATAGGAGACACAGGGGAGCCCATCAGCAAGACACAGGAAACAGAAATACTGCAAAAATAATAATAACGTGACTAAATGAGACAAAATAACATAACATTTCGTTTCGTCTCATTTTGGTCAATGAAAATGAATATACATTTTAGCATAGCATGTGGTTTATTTTGTAAACCACATTTAATCTCGTTTATTTCGTCAACAATATTGCATTATACATTTAATTATAGTCATCGTCACATGACCAGCATTTTCGTTGCATCTCGTCTCGTTTTTGTCACGTGATAAAGGTTCATTTACGACGAAAGCAACATTACACGTCATGCAGTCTGGTAATGGAGTTACCCCCCTGTGACACCCCTCCTCCATATACAGTACGAACAGCTGTTATAGCATGATAGAAAGTCCATGATTTGGTCATGTGGTGACAAACTCTATTCACTAATAAGGATGTGAGACGCTGCTATAAACTCTAGACAAGATAGTAAGTGGACTGTTCAGAGGATACTGTCAGACTATTCCTCCCATGCTGTAAATGTCATTTCACACTCAAATTTCAAATAGCATATTTCTTTATTGCACTGTTTAATTTTATTACAAGTATTTATTGATATTTTAAGGGGAGGGGCACTCATATTGAAAAAACTGGTTGTAGAAATAGATTGTTTGGGGAAGTCTACATACATCCTGGCAGCTGAACTGAAATATACTGTAACGCTTCACTCATGGTTGATATTTAAAAGTCTGTTTTGTAGTGGTCCATGATTTGTGTGCTACTCTGAGACTTTATCCAGTTGCTGTCAGATGAATTAGTTCATAGGACACTTGAACAAACCTGGATGGTTAGTCTCAGTGCAGTATATTAATGTTGTATACTCAGCTGATGAATGCATGTTCTGTGTTGACTTAACCACTCTATAAAGGTCTGCTTAACGTTGATTGCCGCTCTGTAAAGGTCTGCTTAAAGGTGCCTACTGGTCCATGTTGCATTTAGTATGACATCAGATGCTGTGATCTGTGTGCTGTTACACCTGTGTATCTGAGCAAGCACAACCTGTTTGGGTGATGAAATGCTGCACTAGCATTGTTTTTTTTGTTATTTTTGATGCCAGTTTTTCCCCAAATAAATATATTTTCTGTGGAGAAAAATGAGCAGATGACATTATTCCTTTCATCAACAGGCTTCCATGCTCAAAGTTCCCACTCCCTGCTCAGGCATTTAGCTTAATCATACTATTGCCTGTGCACTCCTGGTTCCACAGTCTAATGTGGAGAAGGCAAGATCAGATTTCCCTGCTGTTGTGTAACTTAATATGTGCAGATGATGGTCTTTGCCTCTACTGTGGGTCTTTGATGAATTCACAGCTAGTAAGAAGTCCCAACACTACAAGGTATAAGTAATTCATTTATTTACAGTTTAAGTACACAAACAAATATAAATGTCAGAAAGGAACTCCTGCTGATCTGGTTCAATATGTGTTGAGTGGTTGACCAAAGAGGTCAAGACTCAAAATCAAAAACTAGAAAATGGGCAGCAGCAAGAATAAGGTGTAACAGGTGATTTCCTTCTGACAGACATAGTAGTGGAGTTGCTCATCACAGCCAGGGGTGTCACCAAATTGGAATATAAAAATCCCAAAATATTACTGGTCAAGAAGCCTGTGAAAGGATTATGGCCAGCTTTCCTCTGCATACTGTCAACAAAGAATCATTTCAGTAATTATTTAAGGACTCCAAGAAGAATGCATTTTCAGTGCCCATGGCAATGTTGGAGTTTGCAACACTGGATCGCTTAACCTCTCCTGCCAAGAGCAGCAGCCGTTTAAAGCACATCATATTCACATTCAGTGCAGCATCTCTGCCCACATCACTCCTTTATGTTAGAATCCATGGCTCTGAAGGGGGTAGACTGATGGTAGACTATGACACTTTGGCAGCCTAAACTTGCAGCAGCTAGGTTCTTGGACCAAGCTTAGAAGTCACGCTCAGACTCAACCCTACAGGTCAGTGAAAACTAAACATGAGAATACATTGACACATCATTATTACAAGACTTTCACAGCTTCAAAAATAATACAAATAAAACATGAGAATGTTCATCTGTACACAGTGAATGGACATCTGGTAAAATGTGTCAGGTGACACTGTAGCCCCCTACATAGTGCACTTCTTTTGTAGAGAACACTTGGATGGGAACAGGGCTTACTGGACAGTACACCAGTACAGAGCCTGAGTATAAACAGACAGAACATCTAACAACCTGTCCCCAAGTTACCAAAGCATTTTTGGTATGTTCATGGGTTCAATTAGCACTCAAACCTCCACACCTTATTCTGAAGGCTCACCTCTAAAACATGTAAGAAGCAGCTTCTTTTAATACAAATGGCTGTAGAGTTGCTGAAGTGAATCATCAGCAGCTGTGATGACTGAAAAAAGAAGTAGTGGGTGGTGGGGAGGAGAAAATAAAATGCAAATACCAGTGAAAAGCATAACACCCCAAACACTATCCATACATATACACACCTTGCTGCAAAAAAGAGGGAAAAGCTGTTTTACTGATCAGGTATGAACTAACAGACACTGACAGTGGAAATGTAGAGTCATCAATGATGACGTGTTCTCGTGAAGGAAGGAGCTAGTGGCATGTGTACTGTTGGATCATCAGTCAGTGTCCTAGAAAAGATAACTGGGTTACCCTATATTTTCCCTGGACAAACTGCTGCCCATTCAGAATCTGGTGGTAGTGGGGGCAGTGTGGAAGGGTTGTGCAAATGCCTCCTGAAAGAGTGAACAGAACAGTCTTGAGGTCTTACGTGCCTTAATGTTTTCAGAGGTCAGCCCAGCATACAGAATTGGGAAAACAGTGAGTGAGAAACAGGAGGAGGGTGTACAAGACTGAAGGAGGTGACAGTACTGAGCAGTCAGCCATAGCAGTTTGTACCCAGTCAGGAGTTGCTCCCATTGGTAGCTGTAGTAGTAGTAGCAATTATTAATGGTTGTGGTGGTAGTGGTGGTATTATGTTAGACTGTTTCTGAGTGAACAGGGCTTGGTCCACCAGGTTGCACTGAGGGGCTCATCGAGGAGCCAGAAGATGGAGACCAGCAGACGGTACACCGGATGCCATCTGGAGGACACACAGGACAGGAAGCGGGGGGTCAAAACAAACAGCAACCCTACACCTGTTCTACAGCACCGGATGTGTTACACTTTCCATTCCTGCCTCCCTGTATTGTCACAGCTTCTGAATAAATCCATGTACAAGTGTAAACGTACAATATTCATGTTCACCCCAAAGGCTATATCATCACAATTTCTAAACTGAGCAAACAGCTGCTAGGGAACTAGCTTATAACACTATCTTAAAATTTTTATGACTTTGGACAGTAATTTTCCACTTCCACTCTTTTTAGTGATGTCCTAACTGGACAGTGAAGGAGTGCATTTATGAAAATTTATAGAAAACATGCACTGTGCTGAAGGGAACAGGCATCAGGCTACAGTATCAGATATTCAGAAATTCTCAACAATGTCTGAAATTACAGAAATGAGTAGAGGAGTATAAGTAGTAGCAGAGCTGTGAAGCAGCTGCAGGTACATGATGTAGTGAGTTAGCTAGTGAGGGGACAACGCTCATATCGATTCAACAAGATAGTGTGTTTTCTCATTATGAGACACCATCTTCTTATATAGTGTGATAACTTCAGTGAAATATATTTCAAATTTATGACGTGAAGTACCATCTAATGGCCTACAATAACACACACCGGAGTGGATCATATCATTTCTACTCCCTAATGTGAGCCCTGCACAGCTTGCAGTGATTGACAGCAGCACACAGACAGACTTCACCTGTCAGTAATGCTTGTAACATGACTGGGACATGCGGGGTATCGTGGCTCATGAGCCGCATCCATGTTCTATTTTGTTCACCTATATGTAAATATTGTGCGTGGGTTTATGATCAGTTTATGGTTTAAGATCAGTGATTCTCAGGGACCGGCTGGAGCTCCTTAGCACAGTGCTGGTCATTGTGTGGAATGTTGGTATGGGTGTTGATAAGACAGAGTCTGCTGGAGGGGTGCTGCTACCACAATGCTCCTGAAAGGGGCATGTGGTTATCTGCAGACCGAACTCAGATCAACACTGGTCCTTGAGAATAACTGTAAAAATAATCCACTCTAGAATGTGCTATCATATTAGATGGCCATAAATTTGAAACTATATGTAATTGATGTTATCACGTTATATCACTATTTTAAGAAAATGAGCATGTCATTCTACTGGGAAAATACATTATTTCATAATGAGAAAAAGTGTTGTAATAATGTGAAAAAACCTATCTTGTTTTAATGTGAAAGTTTCTCATACAAATGCTAAAAGATTTTCATTATAATGAGAAAATCTTTATAATTATAATTTCTTTTCTCATTATAATGAGAAAAGAAATACTTTTTTCTCATGGTGGCAGCAATACACGAGTCCTCATTCTGTGAAAAACACATTTGCTTTTTCCACTACAGAATCTTAGCAACCTGGGACCTGGAGCAGAGGATGTAAAGGATCACTCCACAGTGTAACAATCAGCCGGTAATGGAGACTGTATGAGCAGTTTACCAAACAGTTGTTCAACAAGCAGAACACAGACTCGTAGAACTGGGACATCATCACCCCTTTTCCCAGCAGAACACTCACTGAAGTCCCCGTTTTATCCATAAACCAACAAGTAAAATACCTCTAAACCAGGGTGTGTGTGTTTACCCACTGTGCTTGTAATGCCAATAGTTGAGGTGTGAAGACACTGACGCTTAACCAATTAGCGTGACTGCTCTGTGAGAACCCACACTTGATAGTCACCCTTGGTTATACTGTACCTCTATATAGTGAGACACTTCCTTGTTGTATCTTGGTTATCTTGCATTATTAATTGTGGTGTCTTCTATGTTGCAAAACAGTAGCTGCATTCACCCCTAACAATACCTAGCCCATGATTTAGTATCCCCTCCTGTGCAGTACTGAAATTCAAGTTCAGGAAGTGGAAACAAAAGAACCAATGACAGTGGCTGCACGCCAATTTACAGGTTGTTAAGTTCATGTAGTGGAAAACCCTGAGTTTGACAAATCAGCTGGGTATGTTTGTCCTGGTAGTCATGGGTAAGCTCCTTACCAGTGTTTTGTCATGGCAACAAACCTACATATCCCTCAGCAACACAGCAAGGAAACACTGTCTGTGCAAACACAATGAAAGTTTTGTTCTAAAGAGAAAGGGAACACGAACTGGTTTGACTGATTTTAGACTTTATTAAACCAACTTTTCTCCCCTCCAAAAAGCCCTTCCTTCCTGAACTTCTGAAAACATGTAAGAAATTTGAAAACTAACTTCCTATCATGTAAGTGTTTAGTGTGAAAGATCAGGGAGGCAAAAATCTAAAGGTGAAATAACACTGGACTGCACCAAGCAAGGCAGAAGGTGTAGGTAGGCAAGTTCCATTTGGAAACTAGAGCTGCAGGCCTGGCATCTGATCGATGGGGTCTCAAGCATCAAACCAGCAGTGCAAGCAACAAGCCACAGGAGCAGAGCTGATCAAAGGGGCATTACATCAACCCTGAGCAGGTAATAAGGGAGTTACACTCCTAGGCTCTAATGCACTGTAATGCATTATCCACTCCAGATCTCAAAGGGCTGCATTCTACTGCTCAGACAATAGTTAGTATCTGATTGTTCTGACAGACTTAGGCTGGTACAATGCAGCTATGATATCAACAGCCAAGTAGATGTACAACCTAAAGGCTATGAGGTTTTGTGTAATATGAGATCAGTAAGTGGCTGTTCAAGTTAAGTCTAACTGACAAACTGGATGTCCAGCTCACTGCGGACTGACTGTGAATCTGCTAGTATCCACAGAGAAATACTTTATAGGGACATGACCCTGTTAATGCTGCTAATCTAATCAGACGTCCACCGTATGTTTTCCTCTTGTGCCTCTTGTGTATTTAGAGAAAGTCTCAGATAAAACATCAGAAACTGAAAAATGGTGGAATGAGGACTGAGCATGAGACTCGCGCCCAGTGTAGAACTGAAGTTAGGATGCATGCATCCCTTTTGCTTTAGGGACAGGACTCACCCAGTGTTGCCGCCGTCACACAAGGACATGGCGAATGTCTACTTGGCGTGATGCTCGTATGGAATGCTATTCTGAGGTTGGGGGAAGGGAGAGAGAAGGCCCAATATGTCAAGACAAAAGCCACATGCTGCACCAACCACACAAGTGGAGAAAACTGGCTGAAAAGCACCACTACACTTCTTTCTAACAAGAAACATGATGCTGCAACAGCTGAGTATGGAAACTCTTCTTTCTGATCTGGGACCTGTGTGAAGCACTACACACCAGTCTTTTGTAAAATCATGTAGACAAAAACTCCATGAGCATCACTCTCCCATAATCATAGACTAATGTCTAATGATCTTATGAAGTAGCAAGATACAGACTTCCATAAAGACAAGTTCTAAGGAAAGTTTAATGAACTTTAAAATGTAATTCTACCTGGTACTGGTCATTATAATGCTTAAACCACAGTTTCCTCCTGCATATTGAGAGTAGGGCCTCTACTTTAAGTCTAGCCTGGTGATATGGAATTATCTATAGTTAAGTACAGAGATTCTTTTTTCTGCCCATGCTAGGAGACACTAAGATGAAATCAGATGTGTCTCAGGTGTGTCTTGCACCTGCGAGGTGGACATGCGAGAGGTATCCTGCCGTCCTGTTAGGTCTGATGATGACACGTTGACAGGAGCACCACGGTGCAGTCGCATGCTGACCTTTCGCTCACGCTCCATACCAGACACTTGTCGGGGGGAAGTGTTTGCTGGAGATTAGAGACCAAAAACAAAGCACTGTTAAAGATACTTTCCACATAATCTACTTTTGAAGAAACGGATATGATTATACAATTTATGAAAATTTCTTTTTGCAGATTCCACACAAATAGGACCGCCTACTGCCTGACTCAAGTTTCTGAGTCTGTGAAATGACAATTCTTTCCACAGCCTATTATTAGATACAGTACATTCTTTTGGTTAAGAAACAATAAGCCAAACTACTTCAGTGTTGTCCTAAAACAACTACACGACAACTTTATATATCTGTATTTATTAAAGTACATAATGGTAACTGATAACAGGAATCCTGTGGTATGTGACAGTTTTTGATACATCATGAAAGACTGTACACCCTCCACCCCAATTTATTTTCACAATTTTACCGTTGACAATCATTGAAGCACATATCGTAAACTCTCAGTCATTAAAAACCTCACAGTACAAGGATGGTTTTATGGGCCTCATTCACTAATAGGTGCATAGAAACATTCTTACATTGCGCAAAAAATAATTACTGTCAGGATTGTGTGTATGATAGCAAATCACAATCATTCTAAAATGACAGGTGCAGGCCCTTCATTTCTCAATTAGCATACTACCATGCCCACATTTCTCTACAGAGGAAAGTACATTTGCCTAGAGGTGTCCCATGTAAAGTTGCACAAGAGAAGCAGGACTGGACACGGCCTGAACCTGAGGGGGTATCAGGTGAGAGGTGTGTCTGATGATTAAGAAGCTGTTCCAGGGCATTCCATGGCTCGAGCAGAACTTGTTGAGAACAGCTGATAAGTCAATTGTCATCCTCTTCAAACATGATGATGATGAACTCTCTCCTGAAGGCAAGGCTCCATGTGCCATCTTAATGCTTGTTTGCAGTGAAATCAGAACCTGCATGCTTAATAGGCTGCAAATTAAAGAGCTCATGGCATGCTTTTCCTTGTTTTTTGCCTCATCTACAATGTTACAATGGTGAATTATCATCTTAGACGTGACCTAAGGCTCAAAAAATTAGATGTACATATGTTCTAGTATTTCTATGCAGTCTTGCTCACAAAACGTTTTGTCTAACAATGTCTAACAAAGTCTTCCTTGAATGGTCATAATCTCCCGGCAGTTTTGTGCTCATGTGAGCTTGCCTGACATCCACTGGAGCCATTTTAAAAGCGAAATTTTTCAACTGCGCCTGGTTTTGTGGATATATTTTCCCTCCTGCTGCTGCACTGTGACCAGAGGAAAATACAGAGCCTGAGGGTTACTGCATGCCCAGGAATGTTCCTGTACAGGGACTCGCTCTTTTACCTGACCGGGTCTAACCTACAAGCAGCCGGCCAGTGTAGCCCCCTGCAGTGGTGAATGATCAGCTCATCAATGCTGGATTTCCCCAGAGCACAGTACCTGTTTGTTTTGACTGCTTGAGGCCAGTGTGTCTGCTATCTCTAACAGAGTGTCTAATACAGTCTGTAGGAGAGAAAGTTCTCTGAACTGAGTGCTGTCTCTCCTCTTATACACACGCATACAATTATAGGAACAATGCTCAGACAGATGGTCAACAAGTCAAACAGTGAATACAGGATACTAGGTATCTAGTTCAACAGTCACACAAAGGTGAGAAATCCTTACAATATGCTGACACAATAAACAGTCTGAGCTCACAACCACACAATTGACTGTATGCAATGACATGAAAGCCACAGGTAATAAACTACAAAGAGTACTAGACTACAAAGCATCGGCTAATAAACAGTTAAAAAGGGTGCTTCCATACAATTGCCACTACACTGCCACATGTGATGTGTTGCCAGTTAACGAGTGGATTAACAACCCATGATGTTATTATCGGTGCTATGCTACCTGTTGGAATTAATTTCACTACTTTGAGACTGTATGTGGTCATGTGGGGGAAGACGCAGCGACCACCGGTTGGATTTACTGACCTTGGAGCTACTTGAAAGGGACTGATGTTTCCACTACCCGGTGGGACTTAACGGGTAGTTTAAGACAACACATGCTGCATGTCTGTTAATGCCTGGTTTCTATAACGCTGGAAAGAATTGTTGTAAGGCTGGAAAAGTTACTATGTCTGCGTTATGCAAGCTAAAATATGGGGTTTCTCAATTACCTGCTTTGTTTAGAGTGTTACACATCTCTTTTCATTGGTACATATGTTTACCTATCTATGAAGGAGAAATTCAAATTAATTAATGCTGTCATGGTTTGTTGTGCTGTCCACTTGCGACACAACACCTCAAATGAACTCAGTAACTTTTGCACTGTATCTAAACTATCCCGTCTGGCTAAAATATTGGAGAGGCTTGTTAATAATCAGGTAAATAAATTTTTAACTACTAATTGCATTCTGAAACCATGTCAACCAAATATAGATACAAAAATATTGATAAATCCCAGATTGGTGCTTATATTGTTCATATGCACAGTTTAAGAAAAGACTTATGCATATGGACTGTGAATGAGGCCCAATGAATCCAGAGGTGCTGAGGCAGGCTGCAATCAACTGACCTGTGTGTGAAGTCGGTGTTAATGGGGTAGGCAGGGCTCCCTCCTGGGCTCCTCTGGGTCGTCCTGATGCAGCAGGTATTCCTCTGGCACCTGGGTTCCTGGTATGCCTCAGCCTGTCCTCTCGGTCACGGCGCTCTCTCTCTGCTTCCTCTGCTGCACGGTTGGCTCCCTGTGTACCATTGCAAACAATCAACACAAACAGCACTGGTAGAACAGAGTATACAGCCACAACAGGACCTTGTCAAGCTGAATTTGGCACACCGTTGCTTGGAGCTAAATTCTAACATTAGCATGCTGATATTAAGCAGGTGTAATGTTTACCATGTTCACCATCCTAAATGTTCAGCATGCTATTATTTGCATATCAATCCAAATCCAATGACTACTGTAGCTGATGTTAGGGTTACAACTGTATGAGATTTTCACCATATAACTGTCTCAGAAAACATCATGGTTTCATGGTAATACACAATTACTAGTATTATCAGCTACAACAACCCTTAAAGGGATGAAAACAAAAGATTATTTTATTGCAAATAACTGTGCCAGTTGATTGAGCTGGACTGCAGCACTAGATTGATTCTAAAGAAGAAGCAGAATTATAAACATGATTGATAAATAAATAGCATACAATTATAACCTGTTATATAACTAAAGCATGTTAGTTTGCATGCTAGCACCAGTAGTAGAGGAAATATTCACATGCTTTACTTAAATAAAAGTACTACTATCACACTGTAAAACTAGCCTAACTCTGTTACAAGTAAAGGTCCTGCATTGAAAATGTTAAGTAAAATTATGTATTATTATGCAAATGTACTTGAAGTATTAGTCGGCTACTCAATACAAACAGATGTTATACTATACTGTATATCGTATACAGTTAATACCATTATATATTAGGCACTACATTAACAGCCCATCACTCATGAATTTATGTACTAGCATGACTTTACTGCTGTGGTCAGTTGAGGCGGAGTTCTGCTGAACTAGTTTGTATCCAAGTGCAATTACTGATTATTTTCATTAGGGATTAACCTGCTGATTATTTATGCTGCTCCATTAATTGATTGACTGGGTTGGAAAACAATAGTTAGAAATGCCATCATGTTGTTCTAAACAATTATCAAAATAGTTGCTAATTCACTGTTGGTATGTGACAGCACAGTCAGACTGATCTTTTCTGTACCATCACTCACACAAACAAACACACACTTTTGTGAGCCGGGAAAGGCAGTGCATGTGTTTCTGGGGTCAGATCAAGATCAGTGTGAGTCCTTAAGTCAGAGATCAGAGAACAGACAGACAATGTGGAAAATTATTTCGATAGTATATTTTATGTTTGACATTTAAATGCTCACACGTTTTATTGTTTGGGATTGAAGTTATAAACAGGACACATACTTGACCTGTACAGAGAGATTGTTTTTGTGATATACAAAGTACTCCTGCTCTGCTGATTTTAAGTTCTTTGTTGGTGGTTAGCTATCAGCCTCCTTCTCTGCTATGTGTCTGCATGTGGGGAAGAAAAGGCACACAAGCGTTGTGTTTTTTTCTTCAATACCGGTAATAAGCAAATGTGCATGGTATGATAACCATCAATTTTCATACCATGGTACACTGTAAAATCAGGATACTACTGCAACCCTAGCTGATGTGTCAACACCATACAGTTCATACAAGATGATTAGTACTCACAAACTTAAGCATGTTCCAGTCAAATACATAGTCATAAGAGAAGCCCTGTCTGTGAAACAGATTCCTGAAGAGCTGCCGTAGGTACGAGTAATCCGGCTTGTCATCAAAGCGCAGGGAACGACAAAAATTCAGGTAGGTTGCAAATTCAGCTGTGACCCAGAAAGAGAAAACATTTCTCAATTGGTGGGAATGCCTGACATGATTAACATTGGTCAATATGGAATGAAATCAGTTTAGAATAACTTTAAGCAAAGAAAAGCCTAAAGAAGTTGAGACTCACAGGGATATCCCTTGCAAAGCACCTCAATGGGGGTGGACATTTTCTTCTCACTGATTCGTTCATACTTCTGCCTCTTGGTAGCAGCCTTAAGGCCTTGCCAAGGCAGTGAACCGAGATTAAAATACATGAGAACATAGCCCAAGGACTCCAGGTCATCACGCCTTGACTGCTCTGTTCAGGGAGACACAACAGACCAGGAGGAGACCAAAGGGAGGAGAAGAAAAATGGTATTAGCTGCCATCTGGAAAGAATACAACAACAAAGCATTCACCGTCTAAGAAAGACAGTGATGTGTTCATGTCAAAGGCCTGTCCAGTGTATTTTTGTACCAATCCCGAGATGCGTGTTGATTGAGGCGTAGCGTGCAGTGCCAGTAAGGTTCTTGTTCTCGCGGTAGGGGATATGCTGGTGTGTGCGGGCATCCCGATATTTTTTAGCCAGCCCAAAGTCAATAATGTAGACCAGGTTGCCCTTTTTGCCCAGTCCCATTAAGAAGTTGTCAGGCTTCACATCTCTGTGGATGAAGTTCTTGGAATGAATGTACTCAATGCGACTGATCTGTAATGGAGAACAAAGTAAAAGACATTCAGTCACTACACACCATGTTAAACAGTCTTATACTTGTATAGCACTTTTCTATGCTTTACAGCACACTCAAAGTGCTTTCACACTACTTGGCCATTCACCCATTCATACTCACAAACGCTCACACATTCACACACCAGTGTTATCACCGGGAGCAACTGAGGGTTCAGTGTCTTGCTCAAGGACACTTCAACATGTTGACTGGACAAGCCGGGAATTGAACTGCTAATCCTCTGGTTAGGAAACCTGCTCTACCTCCTAAGCCACAGCCTAACTGGGTTAAGATCTGGTGACTATGACAGCCATAAGCATAGGATTTGCATCAAACCATTCCGTGACCCATCAGGAGAAAAATGTTTCATTACAGGATGATCACTCTACAATTATTTTGTATTAATTTGTAGTGATACTTCCCTCTAAGGGGACAAGTGGACCAAAACTATGCCAGCATCTGCATTCATTATAAACCACTCAAAAAAACTTAAGGAACACTTAATCACACAATGGATCTTGATGAAAAAAATTATTCATTCATTCATTCATTTTCTACCGCTTAGTCCCTGAACGGGGTCATGGGGGGGGGAGCCAATCCCGGCCGGCAATCGGGCGAAGGCGGGGTACACCCTGGACAGGTCGCCAATCCATTGCAGGGCTAACACATAGACGAACACCCACACACACACACCTATGGGCAATTTAGAGACACCAATCAACCTAAGCTGCATGTCTTTGGACTGTGGGAGGAAGCCGGAGTACCCAGAGAGAACCCACGCAAGCACGGGGAGAACATGCAAACTCCACACAGAAAGGTCCCAGGTGGGGCCCGAACCCAAAACCTTCTCGCTGTGAGGCAACGGCGCTAACCACTGCGCGATTTTTAGTGTGATTTTGAATCCATCTCTCAAAATGACATAACGGTCAATCGAAACCGAAATCATCAACACATGGAGAGATGGATTCAAAATCATACTAAAAATTGGAGTGAAAAAGGTGAAATCACATGCTCATACATCCATCCATCCATCCATCCATCCATTTTCCTCCACTTACATGCTCATACAAGTTGAGTGAATTTCATCACAGTAATTCATAATGGGACTCAGGAGTGTGTATGGCTCCCATGTGCCGGTATGTGCTTCTGACAATGTCTGGGTATGTTCCTGATGAGTTGGCGGATGGTGTCCTGGAGGATCTCCTCCCAGACCTGGATCTAGGGTTGGGTATCGTTTGGGTTTTCTTCTGATGACTGCTAAAACAATACTTTTAAAATGTTGCAGGTGTCTAAATGATACCATAACCAATACTTTAAAGTGGCCATGGCATGCTTGTTTCCAGCCATTTAATGTTTAATGTTAGGTACCTCTAGATTAGCTTTGCACCCATCATAACTTCAAATAGTCTAATATCACAAAGAGAGCCTCCTCCTGAAAACAAGAGCAGTTTGTGAACACAGACAAGTCCTGTTGCTGGTCAGAAAGTTAAAACAATGCAAAAACAGAAAAACTTTGACAAATAAACTGCATTTTCGACAATGACAATACCTCAAGTCCTACCTTACATGAGTCATAATATGAAAGTGGACAGCACAACAAATCGCAACATTATTTAGGCCAATTTGAATTTCTCCTCCATAGATAGGTAAACAATGGTAATAAAGCAGATAATTAAGAAACCACATATGCATTAACTGGCATAATGCATAAGTAACTTCTCCAGCCTTACAAATCTTTCGACAGAAAAAAACACATTAACAGGCATGCAACAAGTGAGGTATTTTTATACTTATCGTTATGTCCCACTGAATCACTCCCTTTCAAGTAGCTCCATGGTCAGTAAATCCAACCAGTGATCACCGCATTTCCCCCCACAAATCCCTCGTGTTAGAGGCGACCACATTCCCAAAGTAATGAAATTCATTCCAACAGGTAGCATTGTACCGACAACAACATCGGTGATCATTACTTCTTTTCCCCAGCCTGGAACACATTACAAGCTACACACACACTGACCTCAAACTGATTCATTCAAAACTGGCTGTGGTCCAGATCACCATCAAAATTAATCCAGAGGTGCTCAGATGATCCTCTGGTCAAGTCAAGTCAAGATTTTTATTTGCCATGTATGCATAAACAGACAGTCTAGGCATATAGGAATTCTTGTGCAGCTCTCCTTTGGTGGGCCCCATACCGCTTCATAGGCGGTTTGGCTGTAGACCTACATCGGTCCCATTCAAACTGCATTAAACCCAGTCAGAGAAAACCTGCAGACATGGTCATACACACAGTAACCTCAAGCCCTGTATTTTTTCCCACATCCTCTGGTCACAGTGCAGCAGCAGGAGGTAAAATATATCCACAAAACTGCATGCAGTCGAAAAATTCCACTTTTACAATGGCACCGTTGATATCAGGCAAGCTCACATTGTTAAGGAATGTTATGAAAATGAACAAATGCGGCACATGGAAACACACACACACATACACACACATTATATACATATATATATAAAATAAAGTGCTCTGGTTCACATTCAATTAGAAATGAAACTGCATCATGCAACTTAAAACAAAGTGTTTAAACTATTTTAGCTGAATCACTTTTTGAAATGTCTGGTCCATTACAATCAATATCTAATCAACTGGCTGGAGATTAAGAACATTCAAGGAAATTCATAAACTACTGTACAAGATTTTACAAAGTTGGAAAATAAGTCTCACCAGAGAGTGTGAGACTTGTATAAACTAAGCTGCTTCTCCACTGATGTACAATAACATACATACATCTTGTTCTTTGAGCTTTCAGTCACGTTTAACATAATTCATCATTGTAACATTGTAGATGGGTAAGAAAACATGGAAAAGCATGCCATGGACTCCTCAAAAAAAAAAATAAAGCAGGCCATAAATTTCATAATCTGTAGGGCAAGGTCTTCCATTTCATACATTTTCAGAGGGCACAAAGGCCACTCGACTGGACGTTAAGGCCGAGACAAATGACATGATATACACTGCTCAAAAAAATAAAGGGAACACAAGGCACACAAATAAGACATTCAACTATGTAATGAACAAGGTATTTAATAAGAATATTTCATTCATTCAGATCTAGGATGTCTTATGTTGTGTTCCCTTTATTTTTTTAAATAGTATATTTATGTGTACATATCTTATGTATACAGCTTGAGCAGTAAAGTTACTTTACAAACTAGAGTAAAGTGGTGATGTTGTAGAATGGGAAATATGCAGAGACAGTATAGTAACTGTGTACCTTTATTTTAATTTGGATAGTAAATGGTGTGATCTGTGCATTTAGACTCTAAAGCAAACTAAGCTCTGGTTTCTCTCTGCTGATGTTGCACAAGATCACAGCTCTGAAGAATCATGGATGTACTAAGGAGAAAACAGAGGAAAGGGTGTCTGATATCTCTAACGGGTGCAATAATTATATTCGTTTGGCATCATGATGAAGGAATGACCAGCATCACTTCTACCACCGTGAAAACTAAAAATAAATGCATAATGACTGCCTCTTGAGGTCTTCACTTATCAATATTGACAATATTAGTGCTTGTTTAGAATATGTAATATTTCAAATAGCAGAGAAAACAGTACATTTCAACACTACATGTAACATTTTACAGTTCATTGACAGAGCCAAATATTACATCCTTCAATCTGCTTATCCAGTAAAGATTCACCTTACCGTAGCACTTGTATGAAGGCCATGATATGCTAACCCCTGGACATAGGAATAAAGCTTAACCTCTCACACTAAGGTGGCATATTTGAAACATATTAAAGCTCCAAACATTGCTTGAGGTTTTATGATGGAGATATTCACTCAGTAATTAACTACCATCAACCTTACGGCCTACCTTCTCCGTAGCTGTTGCTGTGATATAATAGTATTGTACGATATCACACGTTTTGGTTAACTGACCCTTTCAGTGACTCTGTATAAAGGCCATGATATGCTATTCCCTGGAAATAGGAATAAAACTTAACCTCTCACACTAAGGTGGCATATTTGAAACATGTTAAAGCTCCAAACACTCCTTGAGGTTTTATGATGGAGATATTCACTCAGTAATTAACTACCATCAACCTGTGAACAGAGTGCCCTGCAGACCTCCCTCTTTCATGTTAATTCAGGATAAGACCCCAAAACCTCCCAAATAAAAACAACAACCTGCAGATATTGTGGCAGCTACCTCCTTAAACCCTCAGATGTTAGTGTACTGAGAAATCTGTATAAACCAGTATACTCTGGCTCTTTGAGGAAGTGTAAAACTGAATGAAAGCTTTGACACTGGACACCATATCTGTTTTGCACAGTATTTAGTTGACCTAAGATGTTATTAAGGATGGGACACTTAAAGAATAGTGTATAATATGTAATAAGTAAACAGTTGGATATTTTAGATAAACCCTTTTCTGATGTAACTGTCTAAAATCATTCTAGCAGCTCAATCTTGGCCTTCTGTCAACTCTGTGAACTGTTATGCAACCTCAGACACTCACTAGGAATTGGGTAATCAAACACTCACTAGGAATTGGGTAATCAAACACTGAGAACTGTGTGCTTATACGTGTAGCCTTAACCATTATCACTTCAAAGTGTAAAGCCACTAAAATCATATGAATGTCAATAACATCAAACTTGACTCAATAACCACAGAGAGTATTAAACCTTTTCACGAATTTTATATAGAAGCTTAAAAGAGCTACAGCAAAGCAGCAAGCAATAAAATATATAACTTAAAATCATCAATAATTGTCTTGAATGGCTTGCAACCTAAACAATCAACAAATGCTATCTCTAAACATCACTCTAAAATATTATACTGATTAAAATTATTATGGTTGAGCTAAGCTCTTGATCTGAATAAAAGTCAAAGGGTCTGCTCATGTCACCAGTCCTCAGCTGGCTCTAGGTGTGGTGGTGGCAAGTTGGGCAATCATTTGTTCCTCTTTTTTCCTTTTGGCCAGGATTAAAGGTTTCACAAGGAAAAACTTAATAATTTGAAAAATTTAAACTTATCAAAAAAATCTCATTCTCCTCTGGTTCAGTTTTCTGAGAAAATTCTAGGAAATTTTCAGATAGACAATGTTCTTCTTGGTCAAATCTTCTTTCTTCTGAGAATCATAAAGACATGAAAATGTCTAAAGCCATCTTTCCCCACCAGGCCGGGTGGCTTGTGGCATTCTGTTAAAATTCTTCATTTCTTCATCAATCATCTTTTAAACAGGAATTCAGTTTTCCTTACTGAACTGTGAGGCTCTGCCACAGCTCCATTGTCCTACGTTGACATACATTTCACCCCTCACAGACCGGGTGCCTGTTTGGGAGCACCCACAGAAAGGGGCCCTCTCTCCCATGTTGACATCCATCTCACCCTCACAGGCCAGGCCTGCGGGGAAGCACCCCCAGCGGGGTGCTCTTCCCGGACAGCCTCTCCGCAGTCCTCGGTCTCCTGGAAGTTAGACAGTCAACCGCACAGAGCCTCTGGCCGCAGCCGTGGGAGAACTCTTCGTTCCTCTATTTGCTTGGGCTTTTAAAGGATTCTGGTCAGTAGTCTTTGTCCTCTCATTCAACCAGATGTGGCAGTTTGCAGTTAATACCTTATTTGGCGTGCAAAGCCATATTCTTCAGACACATTGCATACTTTTTACTGTCACAGCTCAAGTCTACTGCCTGTAACCGGCCTCCACCCCACTGTGATCCAGCTTTGGACTCTACTTCCCTCTTTCTTAGAAAACTAAATTCATCTTAATACCAAATAAAAATACAAGAAACTCTTATCTGATTGAAATAGCAAAATTCCATCATTGCTTTTAACAGAACAATAAGAATTACACACTGATTTTACACAAAACTATCAATGCCTTAAAATCAAAACATAGATCTTTATATTTTGAATACTTCACTTGACTAAACATTGATTATCATTGATCAATCATTAATTATCAGTCAAATCTTTACTTTTAGGCTTGAAACCATCATTTTTACTTTAATAAGCTGTGTGTCTTTCTCTCTCTGCCTTTCATTCTCACACACAACTGCACTTCCTCTTTTCATGGATGTGTGTCTACTTCCTCTTTTCTGTGATTCTGCATTTTTCACTCTTTTAGATGTAAAATCACTCCTCTCCATTCTTTCAATAAAATCATTTCACATTTTATTCTTACACATTCACTAATGATTATTTCAAACTAAACACACACATAAATCATCTTATGATTATCCTTACTTATTAAAGCTTAACTTTCTAAGCATTCTGCCACAGCATTTTAATAATTTCTCTCTCTCCTCCAACCTCTTCTGCCGTATCTCTGCCTCCTCTGTTTCTTGGTTCTCTCTGGGACCCATATTTAAAGCTTCACTGACACACTGCTAGCTCAACTGATGCACACTGAGCCAAAAATAGCGCACAGATGTAGCGAGTGTAAGGCACAGAAGTTCACCAACAAACAGTTAATAAACATACTGACGTTACCAAGCAGTGTTAAAGAGCGAGTAACATTAAATTCCACACCATATTCTGCCAACTTTCATGAACCACAGAGGTTTTATGAGGAGCGCTCCCAGATGAACAGCTTTACTAAGCACCATTCTCCTTAATACATCCATAAACACACCTATGTGAGTGACTGACCAGGAACAATCATTTACAGAGATCGCTCTCCAAACCTGACAGATCTGATTAGCCCACACCAGCCACTGTGGCCATGTAACTCCAACAGATATAGAGAGTACAGCCAGATGCCAGGGCAACGACGGCCATGGCCGCCATGAAATTTATACCCTGGATAAAACGAAGGTTGATGCCATTAAAAAACATTCCCATTTATTCCCAGCTCCAACTTCTGCGCTCCAAGGTAAATGGAACGTAGCATAAGCATAATGATAGTATTGGCACTTAATGTGCAATGATGCTTCTGTTGCCTGTAAGGTTATTGTTTGTTTCACAGCACCAGAGGGCAAATATTTCAATCATACTGGCACCAGGTTTTGGTGCCTACCTGGATCAGGGTATCAGTGAGCTCCTGGACAGTCTGTAGTGGCACTTGGTGGTGTCGGATGCACCAATACATAGTGTCCCAAAGGTGCTCAATTGGATTTAGGTCAGGGGAACATGAGAGTGAACATGAGGATGACGGAGGCAGAATCCAGAATGGCTACACACACTGGTCACATGAGGCCAGGTGCTGTCCTGCACCAGGAGGAACCCAGGGCCCACTGCACCAGTGTAACATCTGACAAATGGCAATAGAGATCTGTGTGTCCTTCAAGGACATGCCTCCCCAGACCATCACTGACCTACCACCAAACCGGTCATGGTCGATGATTTTACAAGCAGCATCTCCAGTCTCTTTCACATGCGCTCAGTGTGAACCTGCTCTCATCTGCAAAGAGAACAAGGCATCAGTGGTAGTCCTGCCACTTTTGGCGCTCTCTGGTGAATGCCACCCTGACAGTTTGGTCAGAAACCTGCATACCACTAGCTGCTGGAGGTTCAGCTGCAGGGCTCACGCAGTGCTCCTCCTTGCACAAAGGACCAGATACCGGTCCTGCTGCTGGTTTGTTGCCCTTCTACGGCCCTGTCCAACTCTCCTGGTGTAACGGCCGATCTCCTGGTATCTCCTCCATGCTCTTGAGACTGTGCTGAGAGACGCAGCAAACCTTGCGACTGCACTTATGGATGTGCCAACTTGGAGTAACTGGACTACCTGTGCAACCTGACTGGGCTGCAGGTACTGGCTCATGCTACCAGTAGTGACAAGGACACTAGCAAAACACAAAACCTGAGAAGAATCAGTCAGGAAGGATAAGGAGGGGGCATTTGTCTGTGTCCACAACATGCAGAACCACTCCCTTTTTTGGGGTCGTCTTGCTTTTGCCTCTCCATTGCACCCGTTTAATTTGCAACTGAAACTGATTCACGATCACTTGTGCTTTCTAAATGGACAGATCGATATCCCTGAAGTTTAACTGATGTGGTGTTATAGTGTGATGATCAAGTGTTCCCTTAATTTTTATGAGAAGTCTACTTCTCCACTCATTTAAGTTTTTCCTCTAATTTGTCACCTATCTATATGTCTTAGTGTGCCATATAAACATTGAAGCCCCTTCTGTTCTCATTTTCAACTACACTGGCTCTGTGGTAGAAAGTGTGTCACAGTCTGTAGGGAGGGAATATGGCATTGATGAGACAGTAAAGAATGTGTCTGTGTGAATTAAGTTGGCACTATCACCATTTGATCAGCAAGCAGCAAAACTGTCTTCAGGCTGAATTTGCGGGAGCAAAAGTTGAAGAGATCCTCCAGGCTGGGCCCCAACAGCTCCATCACCATCACGTTGTAGTCACCTTCTGCGCCACACCATTTTATTGTTGGAATGCCCACTGTAGAAACATGGGAGTAAATACAATTAAATAAAGGGAATATGTAGAAAAGGGGCCACATTTCAGACAGGAGAAAAAAAGGTCCACGTTAAACCTTCTGTTTAACCCTCAGATACTGAAACAACCAGTATTATGGATTCAGAACTCAGTAAATCCACTGATTCAATGTTGTAGTTAGTCTCGCTCCCTCAGCTTTGTATGATGACTCACATGGATCACTAAGCCAAATATATTTACATGGAAGAGGCTGAAAGCAGTGGGCTTAAAGCTGAATGGATAGAGGATGATAGTAAAAAAGCAAATAAGGCAAGGATAAGAAAAAACAATCATGTAACTATGTACTCAACTCAACTCAACTTTATTTATATAGCGCTTTACCACAGCACAGCTGACCAAAGCACTTAACATATCATTCAAATATAAAAACAACACATAAGAAGCTATAAACAATAATATAGACACTAACACTACAGACAGAGTCTCATTCCTGGCCAAACGCCAATGAATACAAGTGGGTCTTCAAATAAGACTTAAAAGTAGACAGGGAGGGGGCCTGCCTAATATAAAGCGGCAAGGCATTCCACAGTTTTGGACCTACCACAGCAAAGGCTCTATCCCCCCTAGTTTTCCGCCTGGCCCTCGGTGCCTCCAGAAGAAGCTGATCTGCTGATCTGAGGCACCGCGACGGATTATATGGACGCAAAAGTTCCACAAGATAAGATGGTGCCAGCCCATTTAAGGATTTATAAACAAATAAAAGAATCTTAAAATTAACCCTGTAACGCACTGTATGTATGAGAATAGGAGAAAATAAACCTTACTGAGAGAGTGAAAAAGAGGGGGAAATGATGAGCAATGAGAAAAATGAGAACAAAGTCCAATAAGAAATGAAGGTTCAAGGTTCTGCATCAATACGTCACCTCCTCCTTGCATCATCTTGTAGATCTTGCTTTCGATGTGGAGCTGGGGGTGTTTGGTCTTTACACATTCCAATTTAATGGCCACTTCCTCCCCCACTGAAATATCTGTGCCTGGAAAAGTGTAAATGAATGGGAAGACATGTTTAAAGGTTCTGTTCACCTAAATTACACAAAAATTCTAGTTAACAACCTTGTGGCACCCAGCTATACAGCAGGCTTCAATTTTATCCACTACTCCAATAATTGTTTCCAATGAAAACTGCTAACAAGAATTGTGGATTATCTTGAGTAACCTTACAGACCGCTCAAAACTAGACCCAATACAGATCTTTTCTTTTATAACTGTCAATACAGACTCTTCTTTCTTCCTCTTCTGTCGGCTGTTTCCGTTAGGGGGTCGCCACAGCGAATCATCTGTTTCCACCCAACTCTATCCTCGGCATCCTCTACTCTCACACCAGTTAACTTCATGTCCTCTTTTAGCACATCCATATATCTCCTCTTTGGCCTTCCTCTTGACCTCTTGCCTGGCAGCTCCATCTCCAACATCCTTCTACCAATATAACCACTATCCCTCCTCTGCACATGTCCAAACCATCTCAATCTGGCCTCTCTGACCTTGTCCCCTAAACAGCCGACCTGAGCTGTCCCTCTGATGTGCTCATTCCTAATCCTGTCCATCCTGGTCACTCCTAAACAGAACCTCAACATCCTCATCTCTGCTACCTCCATCTCTGCCTCTTGTCTTTTCCTCACTGCTACAGTTTCTAACCCATACAATATGGCTGGTCTCACTACTGTCTTGTACACCTTTCCTTTGATTCTTGCTGTCACACAACACTCCTGACACCTTTCTCCACCCACTCCAACTCGCCTGCACTCACATCTTTACCTCTTTCCCACACTCACCATCACACTGGACTGTTGACCCCAAATACTTAAACTCCTGCATCTTCTTGACCTCAGCACCCTGTAACTTCACTGTTCCACTTCCCTCCCTCTAGTTCATACACATGAATTCTATCTTACCACGACTGACTTTCATTCCTCTTCTTTCCAGAGCAGACCTCCACCTTTCCAGGTGTTCCTCCAAACATTCCATCAGTAGTGCTCTTTCTGGGCATGAAGCCATACTGCTGCTCACAGATATCCACTTCCTTTCTTAGCCTAGCTTCCCCTGCTCTTTCCCATAGCTTCATTGTGTGGCTCATCAACTTTATACCTCTGTAGTTGCTACAACTCTGCACATCACCCTTGTTCTTAAAGATCGGCACTAGTACACTTCTCCTCCATTCCTCAGGCATCTTCTCACTCTCTAAAATCCTGTTGAACAAACTAGATAGAAACTCCACTGCTGTCTCTCCTAGACACTTCCACACCTTTACAGGTATGTCATCTGGACCAACAGCCTTTCCACTCTTCATTCTCCTCAGAGCCTTCCTCACCTCATTCTTTCTAATCTTTGCTACTTCCTGGTCTACAATATTCATCTCTTCCCCCGTTCTTTCCCTCTCATTTTCCTCATTCATCAGTTCCTCAAAATACTCCTTCCATCTTCTCTGCACACTATCCTCACTTGTTAGCACCTTTCCATCTCTGTAACTCCTTCTTCGACCAACAGCAGTCCAATTTCCGCCAGCACCCTGTAGGTCAACCGCACTGGTGGCGGTCGTTGTTAACCCGGGCCTCGACTGATCCGGTATGGAATTCACACTGATGATTCGCATGTTTAAATTTGGCATTTTTTTACGCCGGATGCCCTTACTGACGCAAACCCTCTCTATTTATCCGGGCTTGGGACCGGCACAGAAGTCACTGGCTTGCAACCCCTGTGGCTAGATTATAACTGTCAATACAGAATATCATACAATATATTTAGTTTATTGTCAGACACACCAACAATGTTGACAATATGTTTCAACAGGTTATTTTTTATGTGCCTGTAAATTGTTAATAGGAATGCACTGATACCACTTTTTTCAGACTGAGTACAAATTCTTACATCTGAGTAATTGCTGATACCAACCTAATAGCAGTGTGTCTACTATAAAATTGCTATTACCATAAGTGCAGTGACATTAAAGACAGTTTTCATAGTCATGAGCTTTACTTTCTGATTTTGATTGAAAAAATAAATAAATAAATATTAGGAGGCAATCTACCTTAGTAGTTAGTGTAAATAAACGAGGCATTGCCATCACTCCAACCAAATATAACGTATAACTAAATCATGCAGCAATGTAAATAGACTGTTTAGCTGTGAGTGATCAGCTGGCACAAGCATTTTAGACACATAGGTTATGTAGGCTGCAGCCTAGGGCCTCAGTGAGCCATAAGGATAGATATATAATTTTAATTTATATTTGAAAATTATTTTAATTTGAATTTTTAAAGATATTTCCTATGGCTTTAATTTCGCGTGACTACAATTAATATAGCATTTAATTGTATACAGTTATTAAAAATCAAGCAGGCCTAAGACATTTCTGCAATTTTGTCTGTGGCTTTATCAAGACGGATGAACCCAGTACCTCATAAGCATAAAAGTTGGGTACAGAAAAGGAAAAACTGATGTTAGAAATTAATAAATCAGTCAGATAATTATTAGACATTAATGTGTTGAATCAAATGTATTAGTAATGCAATTTTGTAAGATTCAAAGTTTGCTCCAGTCTGCTTTGCTTCAAGGTTAGAAGACAATGTTGATTCTGAAAAGTGTACCTTGACACCAATTGTTTTCTTGTATTAAATCTTGTTAGAATTATGTCTGAATGAATGTTTTAGTTACGCACCACGTAAACACACACCCACACCCACACAAGGAATTCTTCATTTTGTTATGGCCAGCAGCTCCATGCAGCTGGAGCTCTAGATAAGAGAAGGAGATGCCAGACTGTCTCCAACTCGTGATGTTTTTAAATCTGTCTGTGTAAGGGGTTAGCCCAAAAGCTTATAAATGTATTAGGCTCTGTGTTTCCGGGGGCTCTCTCTTCTCCAGCAGCTTGTCTGAAGGAGGGAGCCACCCGGGTTGTCTCTTGTAATTTTATTTGCGGCTTTTAAATAAATCAGCACTAAAATGAAGAAAGACGGACTCCTTCAATACTCAGATCTGTCCAATAAAAGGACTGGGGTATAACAACATCCAGCCCTTCTCTGAGCACTCTGAAAATCACACACCTTACTCAGTAATCAAAGAACCACAAATTACTTTAAGTAACCCTAAGTTTCTGAATGACAGTTCAGACACGCTCTGACAATTTAAATTTATGAATGCACACATAACAATCCGCTGGCAAACAGTTACCTTTAATCGATAATCCATGTTCATGTAACACTTTATAAAACAGATCATGCCTTAGCATTCAACACATAGGCTATGATATCAATTTAATCCATTATTAAATATGCAGCATACTTTCAGCTATTTCAGCTATCAAAATGTTCAGCTGTTCAGGGACATTCATGCTTCTATTCAGAACTTTTGGAAACTTCATACTTTTGAAATATTTAGCTTTATTTTGAAAATCTTGCCCAATTCAAATGAATGGGGAAATTTTACTTCAGCATAATTTCAGCCATTTCAGCTGTTAAAATGTTCAGCTCTTCAAGGACATTCATGCTTTTATTCAGAACTTTTGTGAACTTCATACTTTTCAAATATTTAGCTTTATTTTGAAAATCTGGCCCCATTCAAAAGAATGGGAAAATTCAACTTCAGCATAATTTCAGCTATCAAAATGTTCAGCTCTTCAAGGACATTCATACTTCTATTCAGAACTCTTGTAAACTTCATACTTTTGAAATATTTAGCTTTATTTTGAAAATCCTGCCCCATTCAAATGAATGGTAAAATTCTACTTCAGCATACTTTCAGCTATCAAAATGTTCAGCTCTTCAAGGACATTCATGCTTCTATTCAGAAGTTATCTAAACTTCATACTTTTAAAATATTTAGTTCTATTTTGAAAATCTTGCCCCATTCAAATGAATGGGGAAATTCTACTTCAGCATATTTTCAGCTATTTCAGCTATCAAAATGTTCAGTTCCTCAAGGACATTCATGCTTCTATTCAGAACTTTTGGAAACGTCATACCTTTGAAATATTTATCTTTATTTTGAAAATTTGCAACTCAGGCCACCCATTGATCAGTGCACCTCGAGATCAAGATCAGGGTGCCGGAGAGACACACACGCACACAGACACACACCTGGTCTAGATCACCTATCAGCAAGCAAGCACAGGCAGGGGTTGACCTACTCACACCAAATGACCAATAGGAGCACGAACTATTGAAGGTTGCACCCCTGTCCAGGGCGGAGCAGTCTAAGATAAATGTGTTGTAAAAACTTAATTCAGGATTTAGAAGACCTACCTGTGATCAGGCTTTTAGTAAACTTTCTGATGATTTTAAACAGTCCTCTACTGTCTTCACTTCTTGTGCTTCCAACAAAAGAATTGGGCTAATTTCTAACAGTGCTATTGGACTATTTTCACATCTTAATAAACTCAGCATACCTTCAGCTAGAAAAGCCATTCAGGTATCAAAATGTTCAGTTCTTCAAGGCCATTCCTACTTTATTGCATCTCATCCTTCAGATTATTCAACAAAGAACTTCAGCCATTTCTTCTCATCTTTCAGCTGTTTCAGCAATTGATTTTAGGCATTTTCAGGATGATCTTTCAGCTTCTATTAGCAACCACACACATTTTCGACAGGAAATGCATTTCTCTAGTTTCAATTATGTGAGCTTATAAACTTAACAGCTCTTAACTGTGGGATTTATAACTGTAAACTGTCTTGTATTATGAGTTTCTAAAATGGATTTTTAGCTTAGGCTGAAGTTTAACAAAACATTTAAATTGTACCATAAGGGCTGCCCATCAGCTATCAATACCACTGTCTGACATACCAGTAGTTTGTCATCACCACTGTAAGTAGGCGACTGTGTAGCTATGCAACAAAAAGCCACGTCAGAATGACATCATCACTATCAGTCCATCTTCTATCTTGCCCATGTCTGTTTTGGATATCCAAAACTCTTCAGTCTCGTACACACACAGCCTATACAAACTGACTAACCAAAGCGACATCATTGGCATGACAAGTGTATGGCACTATAGTAGTCTAACTAAATACAAGGTATTTGGTCCAAGTGTGAACAATATTCAGCTTTGTTCTGCCTAGTCAAGTTCTACAGTGTAATCTGTCTGCTGTATGTTTAAAAACAAACAATCTAAGCAAGTAGTATTTTCGGGTTTACACTGCTTTTATGCAATATAATGGCAGTTAAACAAGCTAGCTCTCTTTCCTACCTTTTCTATAAAACCTGCCATTCCACTAATTGGTACAAGTATTTCAACTCACACAACCCTGCTTTATTTCAGCAGCTTACAGTAGTTAATTTAAGGAAACGTCCTAGCGGTTGACGTTAATACAAACACGACAAGAACCTATTGTAACTCAGACTTAACATGTTTTAAAATGTTGCTATTAAAGGTAGGAAGGTACACCCTGGACAGCAGCTGGTTAACGCTGAAAAACGTGTGAAGCATAATGAAGATAAATTTTACTCACCTAAATATATGTCCCCGAAAGATCCACTTCCAATTTTCCTGCCCAGTCTATAGCGGTTCCCTACTCTCAGCTCCATTTCGCTATTAGCTAGCGTTACGTGTGTTGCTTCGTTTGTACCTTGGACACTAACGTTGCACTACGTTATCCTATATACCTTTTAACCTTTTAACGTTTTACGGACCTAGTCAAATATTCCACCTTCCTGAACGGGTTTACAACCCCCTATACTGACACCCCTCCTTCCCCCAAGAATCTCAGTTCTTTCAGTAACAATCCAGATTTCACCATCCCTTTATTATTTTTCTGAGGAACGAAAAGCTGTAATATCAATATCATCCGGTATCGTAAAACGCGTAATTTATGATCTCTGTATTTTGGGAGTCATTACTGCCCAAACTACAAGGATGGATACGGATTTTACAAAAAAAAAAAAAAAACTTAATCCCTATTCCTCTGCATCTTCGCTCCACTGTCTGATTTTTTTTCATCCACTGTAAAAGCTGTCAGTCATTCCTTACGTCACTTCCCCTAGCAACAGCAAGCAAAACTGGCAACTTTGTGGAAGCAGTACACGGCTAGTACATCTTAAGCTACAGTATGTCTAAAACTCGGTCAATTAAAAATGTCACTGTTATTTAGGCTACACACCGTCGTATGCATATGACAAACCCAAAATAATCCAGATAGCACAATGTAGCATTTTTATTAAATGAACATTTAAGAAGTATCATATAAACCAGTAATTATTTAAAGGAGGGTCACCATGTGAAAGTCACTTTCAGCTTTTCCCGTTTTTTTAGGGGTCGCCACAGCGAATCGTCACACTGACGACTTGCATGTTGACATTTGGCACGTGTTTTACGCCGGATGCCCTGCCTGACACAACCCTATTTCGAACCCGGGCCGCAGCGGTGAGAGCGCTGCGCCTTAACCACTAGCCTAAAGGAGGGTCACCATGTAGCTGTCTTATAACAAGATCATTTACGTTATTCAGGAAGTTGTGTCACTGTAAATTAGGGTAATACCTAAAACGGTGGCTGCTGTAACATAATAGATTAGGATGCTGCTAGTCTGTAAATTTTATGTTGTATTGCACACAGCGAAGCAGTAAAATGCCAATAAATTAATGTAAACTCTAAGTCCCCTTTGGCTTACTTCAGTAAAATACATGCAAGTTTAATTTGTGACTAATACTTTAATTATTCAGTTATAATAACAGAAAATTGTCAACTGGAAAAGAATGAACAAGACAGCATTAAGAAATTAATTAGAGACATGTTAATTATAAGAGCAGAAATGTACCGCATGCATGTACATCAGAATCAGAATCAGAATCTTCTTTATTGGCTAGGTGTGTCGAGGAATTTGACTGGTAAATTGGCTCTCAATGCACATGTACATATCTCCATGCAAGTATTAACAAGCAGCAAACTAAGCAGTATAAACAGGCAGTAAACGATGCAAACAGACAAAGGAATGCTCATTGTGAAATGAGATAAATAGAAATAAAAATGGAGTACACAACCACAAATACCTGTACATGTCTCTGTTATAAAGTATATGTACCTGAATTTCCCTCGGGACCTATCTATTTATCTATCCAGTATCTGCTATTAAGTGTTTGTATCAAATATTTACCATATTTACATAATATACAGTATTTTTTTTGGAAAATAAAATGAGTGGAATAGATCCAATGTGATAATTGATTAGGAATGGGGAGAGATGTGTTATTAAGCAGCTTTTTTTTCTCTTCTCTATATCCATATAGTAGTAAACAACACCAAGTCATTTCCTATTTGCTTGAATTGTGGTTCTACTCACATCAAAGCGCCTTAAGATCTGTAGCCACGCCCACTGAATTGACTTGAGCTTTTTCTGATTGGGCACATGTGAACAGCCTGAGTCTTTTTTTCTCATTGGACGCCTGTGGACCAATCACATGCGAGCTGCTTCAGCTCACATGGCAGACCTGTTGCTCTACAGATTGGGTAACTGGTACACGTGTGGACCAACGCTGTGCATGGATTGTGCATGCTGAATTCATCTCCTGTAGGTATACAGAAAACTACCGTTTAAAACAACCTGAAAGTACTTACGAGCTTAGAAATAAACACTAGGAATAGCGTTTTGTGATGCATCCTATTTCTTTCCATATATGCTGGCATATGATCTAGTCACCTGTAGTATTTACCTCCTGTAAATGTAAATTTATTCTGATTAAATAGCGGCCTATTGGTAGCCTATTTAGTTTGAAAAGAATAATCAAGAAACAAAATGTATGCAGACCTTCCAGTAACTTTGCATTTTAAAAACAGTGAGCATAAAGCACTTCACGGTTTAGGATGACATGTGTGCTAAGGGTCTGTTCCCAGAAATGCAGAGAGATCATGACACAGCCTGTACTCTCAGATGGCTCTCTATCAAAACAACAAGCACATGGCTGAATATACCTGCCTTATGAAACATCTGAGTAGCATATCTATAGCCTACCAAACTGATTTGCAACTCTAGCCATTTCCTTCTTTTTAACAATTTCGGGGAAAAATCGATTCTCAATTGTTCCTCAAATTCAATTAAAACAGATAGAAGAGCTTTTTTGTCCAAACTGTTTATTCAAACTCTTGATCAGAAGAGGGAAGTACAGTGGGTACGGAAGTATTCAGACCCCCTTAAATTTTTCACTCTTTGTTATATTGCAGCCATATGCTAAAATCATTTAAGTTCATTTTTTTCCTCATTAATGTACACACAGCACCCCATATTGACAGAAAAACACAGAATTTTTGACATTTTTGCAGATTTATTAAAAAAGAAAAACTGAAATATCACATGGTCATAAGTATTCAGACCCTTTGCTCAGTATTTAGTAGAAGCACCCTTTTGAGCTAATACAGCCATGAGTCTTTTTAGGAATGATGCAACAAGTTTTTCACACCTGCATTTGGGGATCCTCTGCCATTCCTCCTTGCAGATCCTCTCCAGTTCTGTCAGGTTGGATGGTAAACGTTGGTGGACAGCCATTTTCAGGTCTCTCCAGAGATGCTCAATGGGGTTTAAGTCAGGGCTCTGGCGGGACCATTCAAGAACAGTCACAGAGTTGTTGTAAAGCCACTCCTTAAAAAAATTTCTACTGCACCTAAGGTTCCTAAGAGCACAGTGGCCTCCATAATCCTTAAATGGAAGACGTTTGGGATGACCAGAACCCTTCCTAGAGCTGGCCATCCGGCCAAACTGAGCTATCGGGGAACAAGAGCCTTGGTGAGAGAGGTACAGAAGAACACAAAGATGACTGTGGCTGAGCTCCAGAAATGCAGTCGGGAAATAGGAGAAAGTTGTAGAAAGTCAACTATCCCTGCAGCCCTCCACCAGTCGGGGTTTTATGGCAGAGTGGCCCGACGGAAGCCTTACCATTTAGATTCATTCTGAAGATGTTAGATATTACCAGGCATCTGAGGAAAAGTACAACCGGGTCATGTACAAACAAATGTTTTCTTTTTCACAGATTTGACACCACATAAAAAAGAAGACAGTTAAAAAAAGGGGAAGTGGCAAATTTACTGAATCTCAAAACTCAAAACTGCTTTGTGTGGTCACACAGCTTTCTCCTTCCCATTTTTATTCAACCACCAAACCTACAACTGCTTTTAAGAGAAGCACATTAAATCACATTTTTGACCATCTTTCCCACATTTTCACACCGACTCATCTATCTGGGTGAAACAGACCAAAATGCCACTGAAGCAAAATGACATGTTAAACATGACGACCAACGTTTACCATCCAACCTGACAGCACTGGAGAGGATCTGCAAGGAGGAATGGCAGAGTATCCCCAAATGCAGGTGTGAAAAACTTGTTGCATCATTCCCAAAAAGACTCATGGCTGTATTAGCTCAAAAGGGTGCTTCTACTAAATACTGAGCAAAGGGGCTGAATACTTATGACCATGTGATATTTCAGTTTTTCTTTTTTAATAAATCTGCAAAAATGTCAAACATTCTGTGTTTTTCTGTCAATATGGGGTGCTGTGTGTACATTAATGAGGAAAAAAAATGAACTTAAATGATTTTAGCATATGGCTGCAATATAACAAAGAGTGAAAAATTTAAGGGGGTCTGAATATTTTCCGTACCCACTGTAAATAAAAAATTAACTTGACCTTATACCATATGTTTTCAAAAACACAACCCTAATCATGAACTCCAAGGTCACGAATGGAATAATAATTCAGTAATATAGGTTTTTATATAGATTTTAATTAGGCTTTCAGATTTTCCATATTGCTGGGTGTGCCTACTTGAGCTTCATCCAACCAATACCATGCCTATCTTGTTTACACAAAGAAGATGACTTTTTATAATAACTACAAATGTTTCAGTGAACCATAGAAACACACTGTAGCACATGAGCAAGGAACAAATAAATCAGATGAACTGTATGTGTAGCATGTACAGTGCCTTGCAAAAGTATTTGGCCCCCTTGAACTTTGCGACCTTTTGCCACATTTCAGGCTTCAAACATAAAGATATAAAACTGTAATTTTTTGTGAAGAATCAACAACAAGTGGGACACAATCATGAAGTGGAACGAAATTTATTGGATATTTCAAACTTTTTTAACAAATAAAAAACTGAAAAATTGGGCGTGCAAAATTATTCAGCCCCTTTACTTTCAGTGCAGCAAACGCTCTCCAGAAGTTCAGTGAGGATCTCTGAATGATCCAATGTTGACCTAAATGACAAAGGATGATAAATAGAATCCACCTGTGTGTAATCAAGTCTCCATATAAATGCACCTGCACTGTGATAGTCTCAGAGGTTTTTAGGATTGTATCATGTTGTCTATAGGGTTAACTACGGGTCATTTTCTTTATTAACTGATCTCAACCACTTTTTAAAATTACTGATGGGAGTCAGTTTTTTCTGAGTCCTCTGGTGAAATTAGAGTAGCTTACATAATAGAGAGACATTTAGCTCAAGTGTAACTATGGGACGAGACAACAGTGTGACACTTTGGACACCATGCTTGTTGTTATTCCTCTTCCCTGGTCATCTTACACTAAATCTGCTTTTGCTTCATAAGGATGTTTTACTTTGTTTTTCCCTGGCAGTGATTCTCATGTGTGTATTGTTTGTTCCAAGTTACATCTTGCAAACGGGCTTTGTGTTTTACTACCAAACCATTCATTGTGACTGTGTGTGTGTGTGAGAGACACCAGATGACCCATTGTTATGTGTTTGCTGACATGGTGCATCATCCACAGGCCTGATACTGTTGCTTTCCCAGCAGCACAATGAACAGGCAATGCAGAGACGCTGAGCCCAACACTCCACGGCTCCTATTTAGCTGAATGACACACACACACACACACATATATAAATTCCCTACTGACTTGCTTTTGGGGCAGTCTTGTATTCCTTCCTTCAAGCTCGGGTCCTCTACGAGAGGCCTGGGAACTTGAGGGTCCTGCACAGTATCTTAGCTGTTCCAAGCACTGCACTCTTCTGGATAGAGATCTCAGATGTTGTTCCTGGCTCTCCCAGTTTGGGGTCACAGCCCCCAGTGTTCCTATTACCACGGGGACCACTTGTGCCTTCACCTTCCACATCTTTTCTAGCTTTTCTTTCAGCTCTTGGTATTTCTCAAGCTTCTCGTGTTCCTTCTTCCTGATGTTGCTATCGCTTGGGATTGCTACATCTATCACTACGGCCTTCTTCTTCTGTTTGTCCACCACTTCTATGTCCAGTTGGTTGGCCATTACCAGTTTGTCAGTTTGTATCTGGAAGTCCCACAGGCTCTTAGCTTGGTCATTGAAGGAAGGAATACAAGACTGCCCCAGAGTGGGGGGCGATGGGGAATTTGTTTTATTGAGTTATATGTCTAACTAGTTTTTAATATTTCCCAGCTTTTACTGCTACCTTCATTAGCATGTGTCAATGTACAGTGTTTACATTAACTTCATGCTAACTAGCTAGCTAATGTTACATTACAAGGCAGCAAAACAGCACACTTTTAGAAGTTTGATTTTCATCAATTTAAGAATACTGTGACTTATGTAATGAACTGTAGCCATTTCTTTTTTCCTTCCCATCACAAGGAAAGCGGTAAAATTTTAGCTGACCCACCATTTTTGATTCAGATCTACTGAAACAATGGGGAACACAACACTGTTTCATATGGAGAGGAGGGGAACAAACCAAACAAACCTCACTCCACATCTGCAGGTCCAAAAAAATAGGAGCAAACATTGTGAATATTGCCATGGTTTGTTATCAGTAGACTTGTATTCATGAAGTTGTCACAAAAAAGTTTCAAGTGCAGAATGATAGACCTGGGTGTGACAAACCGAGTAGTGCAGCACAAAAGAACATGTCACTCAGTCATGCTGCACACACTTTATGTGGTGAAATTAAAGACACCGACAGCATCCACCTTCAGGCATCTGAGGCCGTATAGCTCATAGCTAGGTCACATGTTGGTAGTATTCTCAAATGTAATCACTGTCAATTTTAATCACTTGTTTTTTATCAAAGTTGTTTTTTAAAATGTTATGATGTGGTTTGCCTATATAATCTGTAGGTCACTTCTTTTTTCTAAGGAATCATTTTGCCTTTGTAGCATTTTGCAAAAAATCTAACATGAACAAAACCAGTAATTTTTAATTTAAGAGAAGGAATTTGATTAAGTTCAATCCACAGTCATGAGGATTTCTGTGTACAGTCTGTAAATCTGTAAAACTAGTGAGTGTCTGTACTTAACCTACTATGTGTATTTGACAAAATGCCTCTTTCCCCACTTGTATACATACATACATACAGATGTACACACACCACTAGTTTACTTAGGGTTCTAGCATTGTTAAGTATCAGATAATGTTCCGTTACATTACATGATGCAACACTGACATGCTATGGTTAATGGATCTGTGGTTATGTGAAGGATTTTGTTTGGTCACTGTTCTGACTCTCTTTTTTATCCACACAAATGAAAATTAATGTCTTGGTGAACTCTGCCCAAAGAAAGGCCAAATTATTAGTAGTACTGTTGTTGTTTAGTTGCTCCATCAAACGTTTTGTCAAGCAAAGGGCAGCAGTCATATGGCCACACTTTGTTTAGAGCAGCTGTTTAATGTTGACAGAGGCTGAGAAACTGTTCTTCCTTTCTGTATTTTTCCCACACACAGCACTTATCTATTTTTTTCTCCTCTGTGTTTTTGTTATTTTCCCCTTTGGGTTAGAGTTTCACTTGGAGCTCCTCCTCCTCAAGACCATTAAGCTTTGCTTTCCTCTCTTCCTCTCTCTCAGTTTGTCACTTATTCCTGTTTTCACTTTATTTATGCTCTTCCACTTGTTTGAAGGAGCAGGACATCTGTGTTTTAGAAAAAAAAGAGTGACCTGATGAAAAAGAGACAGGACAACAACCTAAGAAAAAAACCAAGGACTACAGAGGAGTGGAACAGAGACTAAGGGAAAAGCCAGACATTTGTGTTTCCAGAGGAGAAATACTGGGCTACAACTGCAAAAGTAAGATTCTTTTTGTTTGCAAATACTGTACCGTTCTATAGCTAGACAAGTCAAACACCAGCTGTGGTATGTTGATGCACCACTGTGAATGTGCTGAAGCTGCTGAATGAAACAAGATCCAGGCACCTTGGCATCTGGTTCCTCTTGTTGTTGATCTGACATACAGCTGGCTGGGACACACATTAAACATGCAAAAATTCCACTTGGTATTTTACCTACTCAAACACACATACTGTACACCCACTCAGATTCTACAGCTGTTGAAAAAAATTGCCCAGCTGTCAGATGGTGGTAATACTGTAGCTTTATAAAGCAAAGGTGCCAAATAAACAGCAGCACATTGTTCCACATCAGCTGCTTTTGTTGAAGCACCAATCAATTTTTATACAGGACCAGGTAAAACTGAATCCTGAACTTTGGCTGACCAGTTTCTTTTGACATCATTACACTGATTTCACTTTCAAAACGTACTATTTGCGCTTGTTAATTAAAAGACCTACATAGCAGGCACAGTGAGAGCAACTATGCATGAACAAACTGCAGTTTATAGCCTGCATTTGCTTATCAGCGCTGGTGCGAATCGTATTTATTGAATTCCCATAATTGTAGTTTCTGTTTCTCCGGAACAAAAAACAACAAACATACCTGTTTTATATGACCTGAAAAGTTTAAAATAACAATTTTATTTGAAGGAATATTGTCTTGCATAGGTGTTTGTTTGAGGTTCAACATTTTTATGGATATGCTCTAAATGGTATAGTCTCCATTAGAGTCTTCACTCATAGTCTTCTTCATATGCTTTTGATGTTTTGTGTATGATATATACAACAAGGTATGATTTTTATTTTTATTTGAAAAGTTTTATTTTTTACAGACATAGTCTAAAAGGTACAGTACTTTTAAATGATGTATCTTTTGATATTGTGTAGAGGATATTTATCTGAGATGTAGGTTGCTTTCAGGTCTTGTAGAATAGCACCCTGAGTTTGGTATGCTCAGTTTCCTAGTTGGTTTAGTTAGAACCCTTTCCTATTTGTTGAGTGAAATTTAGATTGTATTAATCAATACCTATTCTCTAACTTTTGTCTAAAGCTTCACTTAACAAGCAAAATCACAGCACAACATCCTCTAAAATTAAGTCAAATTTCTGATAAAATTTGATTACAGAAAAAAAGTCAATGGCTTGCACCAAATGTTAATTATAATAAGCAATGGAAAGTCCCTTATTCCATTATTTTACACACAATAAGGAAATTGTAAGAATTACTTCCCCTTTAATGTCCTGGAGTTATCATAACTCCTCTTTCTGCATTTTTAGCAATAAACTAACTAAAACCTAAGTATGGTGACGATAAGTGCAGATGGCTTAGAGGTTTGGGATGAGGTGAATTGTTTTTTGCAACTTGAGGCCAGTGGAAATAAACTGTTAACTTGACTTATCACATTTAAGCTGATATGGCAAACTTGTTTCCTGTCACTTGTTTATTTACACATCCAGCAGTTACAGAGCCACGTTTGTTTTCATGTGAGGTTCATGGCCACATGTGCAAAAGAAATTTTCTCTTCTTTGGCTTTGTTTCTGATTTTCACTGCAGTTTCCACCAATTTCTAAGGGAAATATTTGGTTTTTTTTTTATATTCTTCATTATTTTCACAAGCTAGTTGAGCAGTGGATAGCTGCCTGTTGTGGTTGAAAATGAGGCTGTGAACCAAATCAGTAGATAAATGCTGTGTTTTCACTATCAGAACCTAACAAGTGGTACACCCCGTACTTCCCTTAACCATCACCAAGCATAGCCTCCAGGGGTTGACACGGACGGTCCTGCCTTGTTTATCCACTGCATTTTCTCTCGGTTGGTCTCTGCTTAGAGGAGGGAGGGGCTGCTCCTCTCTCACACATGCAGTCAGCAGTGTTACTGTGAAATATTGGTTATAGCCAGTTTAAACATCTGGTTGCAAATATTTTATCCTTAATCAGATCCTTTGATCAGCAAGATCCCAATACACTAATATGTTGCCTGACCCTAAAGCACCAAAATACTGTAGCAACAATGCAACAGGAGTTAGATCCAGAAGTGCTTAGGGATCTAAAAATGGTAATAATAATACTTTATTGTACCCATAGGGGAAGCTCAAAGTATATTTTTTAAGTGCCATGTTACCAGGATTTGACCTCACAGTTCTCCTGGTGATCACATCATACATCTACAAAAAAGAATGGGATTCATAATCATCAAGAAAAAAACCACACATATCAATAAAAAGTCCTCATACTGTTGTCAGAACAACAGACTCACCCATGAATTCACAAGCTTAAGATGAGCGTGCATTAATACGTGCACATTGATGAAAACAACTATATTCACTCAATCTTTTTTTCACATGTTCATAGGTCATAAACACGGAAAAAATTTTGATCAGACTTAGAAAATGAATCACCAAAAATATATTTTTTTGCCACTTGCATCTCCTGGTTTCCATACCTCTCCCCTCTCCAGCAGGCACAGAAGATGCATTTTTCTCCCTAGGCGTTCTAAAACCTTTTCAGCTTAAGAACAAAGTATACATCTTCTGGACTGTTAAATTTGATATGTTGAATTCACATGCAATCTTGAATCTTGTGTAATATCTGTTGATCCTAAGGGTAATGTTTACATAGAATGTTATCTTATAATATAACTAGTTTGCATGTCAGATTCTGTGAAGCCATTGAAAGCCATTAAAATAAATCTATATTTTTGGGTCTTATTTTAATCATTGGAAACAATTTATGAATCAGATTTTTCAGTGTGTGTTAATTCACTATTACAAAAGAAAAAAATAAGATGAATGAATGCCAAACTAAACAATGCCAGTTATTTGCTTAGTATGCTATTAAGGAACACTATTCCTCTGTACTACAGATGATCACAGCTTGTGTGTGGGCCCTAATGCTTCTATGGGCCTGTTCAGTGGTCCCCTATAATGAGAGTAAAGATCCAGATCCCCGTCAAGACCAAATAGATCCAAAGGACAACCATCAAGATGCCAGGTATTCTTGTAATCCAGCCTCACTTGGTGCATACATATGCAGTTCCATGTACAGTATATAAGATGAAAATAACAATATTTTATACAAAAACTACAGACAGCACCCAACCACCCAGTTAAATGAACTTTCTCAGTGTTAATTTAGCAAATAGCCACTGTATACCCACTATGACACCACTCAGTGACAAGGTGTATATAGAAACAGTATACCCCCTTATATATTTAACACCACATCACAGGGAATGAGTGACTTGCTGTCACTAGATGTTTTTCATTTATTGTGAAAAAGTTGGACTTTGGACTAAAAAGACAAGAGCCTACATCTGACTTGCCTGAATGTCTTGGTTTTTTAATTTGGTTTTAAAGACACAGGGCAGTGAGACAGTGTCAACGATGCTGTGACCCAGAAGAGGAGATTCCCCAGCAGTACTCCAGCCAGCCCTACCCACCATACAAAATAGTACCAATGATCAACATCACTGTACTCAAAGGTAGGCTAATACAATACACAGCTAGAGTCTCTTTATGTTTATATTCAAAACACTTTTGGACTTATGTTGGTTGATGGTGTTGATCAGTACAGCCAGTACTTTAGAAAAAAACAACTAAAAGATCACACCAAGCCAACAGTCTGCTTTCAGCCACCACTGGGCTGTCAGTGGGCCTGTGTTGGCGGCTTTTTGACTAAGTTGAATTGAATTGGTGTCGATCCAATGGGCCTCGTCGGTGTTAGGTCTAGTGCATGGGTAGAACCTAAAGCTGCAGACACAGACTGAGGAACTAATTTCATATAGGCTTTTAATAAACAATAAGAGCTCCTGGGAGCAAACAGGAGAGAGGAGCCGACTGATGAGTCAAGCTGACACTGGACTGGAACCACACTGACAGAGGTGAGGAGTCAGCAGGTGAGTCAAGCTGATGCTGGACGGAAGACCCCAAGGCAGGAACAAACAGGTGAGCTGAGCTGTTGCTGGACTGAAGACACTCAGGCAGAAACAAATATTGACACAGGGCTGGATGGAGACTCACTCAGCGTCGACAGCAAATCAGGTAAGTTGAGTAAACACCAGTCAGGGGCATCTCAGGCAGCGACAAGGAACAAACAGGTGAATAACTGATAAGGCTGGAGGAGACTCAGCATCGAGGGAAAATAGTGTTACTGGAATATTCTATAAACCAACCTATTTAGCCTCTGTCCCAAGTTTTTTTTGTGTTGCAGGCATCAAGTTCTAAATTTGTTCATAAAATGCAATTAAGTCAGTCAGTGAAAACAATGAAAACCTTTTCTTTTTACTTTTGTCCCTTAAAGGTTCAAGTGAATTAACAAATCACAAATTTTAGTTTTTATTGTATTTTGGAAAATGTCCCACGTTTTATGAAGATGGTGTTTGTATCTTCAGTGTGTCACTATCCAACATGCTTGTTGATTAATCAAGACAACAAATTTTTCTGAAGCATGGAGGTTTCTGTGTATTTTGCAACAGTATGTTTCCAGCTGCACAAAATTCAGCCAACAGTTCTTCCGTGGGTAACTGTAGTTTAACAGTGTGCAACATCCCTCCTGTTAGAGACTGCCACTACATTTCACACTATGTGATTGCACAGAAATAAAACCCTATAAGTGATTTATATGAAAAATCGTATCAAAGATTGCACATACAATATGCAAACTAATACAATTAGGAACATGTGTCATTAAAGAGCCCATGGCATGTGTTTCCTTATTTTTTTTTACTTATCTACAATGTTACAACAGTGAATTGTCATCTTAGACGTGACTTAAAGCTAAAAAAAAAGGGGGTGTACGTATGTTCTAGTATTTCTATGCAGAAGCAGCTTGGTTAATACACAACTCACAAACTCTTGCTTGTGAGACTTTTTTTTTTTTTTTACCAAAATAAAGTATTAAGTGATAGGATCTCCTTGAATGGGCATAAATTCCAGGCCAATGCATGTTCCTGTGAGCTTGCCTTACATCCACTGGTGCCCCCACCATATTGGCAAAATGTTACATTGCCTTGTTTGTTATGTGTATTTTCAATAAAGCTTATGTAAAAAAAAAAAAGACATCCATTGCAAAAGCTGAATTTTTTGACTTGGCACATTTTTGTGGATTTATTTTCCCTCCTGCTGCTGCACATTGACCAGAGGATGTGGAGGAAAATGTCATGATTTGGTTCCGTTTGCGTCCGGTTGTGCTTTTATTTTGACATTACTTCTTGTTTTTGTTTCACCACAGTTTCGGTCTTTTTACTTTAATCATCACTCACATTAGTGAGTTACTTGCCAGGTTGTTCTAGACTCTAGCTCTGACTCTCCAGCGGTTTTTGTTTTGGTATTTCCTGTTTTGACCCAGATCGTGTACTTTGACAGTTCTGTTCTGCCTTGCCACCTTGTTTCAGACTACCTACGGTGTATGAATTCGGACTTCCCTTTTGGACAACGAACTTTGGATCCCTTTGTATGTGTTTGCTGGCTCTAACCCTGGACTGTAGTATCAACCTGTGAGTGCTATCGTTTTTGTTCATTGTTCCGTGCTCTGATTAAAGAGACAGTTATTCATGTATCCTTGTCTGGCACTTTAATTGAGTTCACCCAGACATTATCGGCAGCATCACGTGCCAAACCTGACAGGAAAATACAGAGCCTGAGGTTACTGAATGTCCAGGAATGTTCCTGTACAGGGACTCGCTGTTTTACCTGACCAGGTCTAACCTACAAGCAGCCAGCCAGTGAAGCCACCACCGCAGTTAGTGATCAGCTCATCAATGCTGGATTCACCCAGTGCACAGTGTCTGTTTGTTTTGACTGCTTGAGGCCAGTGTGTCTGCTGTATGTGATGTGTTGCTTGTTAACGAATGGATCAATGACCCATATTGTTATTGGTGCTACACTACCTGTTGGAGTTAATTTTACTACTTTGGGACTGTATGTGGTCATGTGGGGAAGATGCAGCGACCACCGGTTGGATTTACCAACCTTGGAGCTACATTAAAGGGAGTGATGTTTCTGCTAATCAGTGGGACTTAATGGTAAGTTTAAAAAAACACACATTGCATGTCTGTTAATGCCTTGTTTCTGTAATGTTAGAGAGAATAGTTGTAAGACTGGAGAAGTTACTATGTCTGCATTATGCCAGTTAAAGTATGGGGTTTCTCATCTACTTGCTTTGTTTAGAGTGTTACATTCTTCATCTGTACATATACCATCTTTAACCCATCTATGGAGGAGAAATTCATATTAATGCCATCATGGTTTGTTGTGCTGTTCACTTGCTACACAACACCGGCAGCAGGCGTTCACAAGCTGTCCTCTCATTTTAAGGAAGAGGCTTTTTGGCTGTCTGATTCTGAAACAGTTACAAACTATTCGGAGTTATGAGCTAATCTAGAGGTACCCAAGATTAAACATTAAATAGCTGGACACAAGCAAAATGAGCATGCCATGGGAATTTTAAAGGTTGAAAGGCTGTAAAGTCAAGTATTTCTCATTTCTGCATTTCTCAATAAATGGGTTTTATCTATCTCCATATATTTTTATTTATTTAGCATCACTGTGATGAGAAATTTTTATCAATATTTAACTTATTGGATAAACCAAAAGGAGACATTCCCATCTAAATTTCTGTCGTGTTCCTGCCTCTGAGCCATACGAACTTTAAGTACTGGGATTTTTACCCCCACTACATCCTTGAACATGACTGTCTCTGCTGCTCCTAGGTGAGAAAGGTGAGACTGGTGAACGAGGAGCTTATGGAAAATCAGGCAAAGCTGGTCAGGTGGGTCCTCCGGGTCCCACTGGCATAAAGGGCATCAAAGGCAGTATGGGTGTCCCAGGTGAGGCCTGCAAGTCCTACTTTGCAGCCTTCTCTGTTGCCCGTAAGAAGGGTCTACACTCCAACGACTACTACCAGACACTGGTATTTGACACAGTGTTGGTTAACCTCTACAGTCACTTCAACATGTTTACTGGTAAATTCTTTTGCTATGTGCCTGGCATCTACTATTTCAGTCTGAATGTACATACATGGAACCAGAAGGAAACATACCTGCATGTGATGCACAATGAGCGGGAAGTGGTGATCCTCTATACTCAGCCCAGTGACCGTTCCATCATGCAGAGCCAAAGCCTGATGCTGGAACTTGAGACAGATGACCAGGTTTGGGTCAGACTCTTTAAAGGTGAAAGGGAAAATGCCATCTTCAGTGATGAATTCGACATTTACATCACCTTTAATGGACACCTGATTAAACCCAAAAATGAGTTGTAGGTAGAAAACTGGACATGTGTAAGTTGGCACCTTGTGTGTATATATGGACAAAATGATCTAAATGCACTATCAGTCCTGACATAAAACATGTTATGTTGTCAGTGGTTTAGTACAGAAAAGATATTATTGCTGCAACTGAGAGACAGAATTTAAAAAATAATTTCAGGAAATCACATTGTATGATTTTAAAAGAATTTATTTGTCTTGCACTGCTGAACATAAGTATTTGAACACCTGAGAAAATCAGTGTTAATATTTGGTACAGAAACCTTTGTTTGCAATTACAGAGGTCAAACGTTTCCTGTAGTTCTTGACCAGGTTTGCACACACTGCAACAGGGATTTTGGCCCACTCCTCCACACAGATCTCCTCTAGATCTGTCAGGTTTCGGGGCTGTCGCTGAGCAACGCGGAGTTTAAGCTCCCTCCAAAGATGTTCTATTGGATTGAGGTCTGGAGACTGGC